GGATATAGATAGATGGATAGATGGATAGATGGATAGATGGATAGATGGATAGATGGATAGATGGATAGATAGATAGATAATCACTCTGTGGTTACTTTAGCCCTTATGGATGCTGTGTTGTTAACCCCTTTGGAGGGGCACTGGAATAAAAGTGGCCATAAGGCTGGTGGGGTCAGCTGACTAAACCATGGGTAGATGAGTATTGCCAGCTAGATAGTTCCCATAATCCTCAGTCCACCATGTTTGTAGCATTACTTGTGTACAACGTTCACAATAATGCTGCTGTTACTAAGTCTGCTGTCCTCTTGTTTGCTAGAATAATATGTGTTGTGGCCACTCTGTATAAAGAGCCTTAAATTTCACCCAGATTCAGCTGAGACTCAGATATATAAGGAGGAAAGAAGATTATGCAACCTCCATTCCTGAGCTTGTGGGTGACTGCTGAGGTTTGTAGAGATCTTATGGGTTGTGTGGCCATTCACACTGATGTGTGTGTTGGGTAAAGAATCACTAGGATCCTGTTAAAGTAGAAGACGCTAGTGCCTAAAAAAAAAATTAAGCCACGCTCTGAAAATGGAAGATGGATAGAGCCTAAAAACATGACAAGGAGAAAGGAGGTTTGTTTATGGAAACGATCTCCATGTGAAAAAGCTGAAGACTTACATGGTGTGAGAGCACACAGAGTGGATTGTTACTTCTTTTGATGGGAAGGAAGAGTTAACCTAACGTGGCTCACCTTCTAGAATTTGTCACTCACCTTAAGTTCCTTTGCTAAAGCCTCCGTTCAGCTTCTTGGAACTGAAGGGCTGACTAAATCTGGTTAGAAATTGCAAATTCCAAGGATTACATCATAGCCCGGTTTGGAAAATGCCAATTCCCAGGTTTGGTGTTCTTCATATTTCATCCTAGGCGATGGAATTGATCAATCCTTCCTGGTTTAATTGTGATTAGAGCCCTTCCCCCATGATTCTAAATCCTAGAACCAGTTAAAACTTATCTGTGGGGATCTTTAGGGGGAGCTGGGCTCTGAAAAGCTTAGAAGGGTAAAGAATAAGTCTTTGGGAGCCCAAGTTGGCAAAGCTGAAGAAGTTGACATCTCCTTTGAGATGCTAATCAGCACCCTTGAAGGGGCATCAAAGTTGCTTTTATCCTTCCTTTTCAGGGATGATAATTGCTTAACCAGATCTGTTTTTTTCTGAGCCTTGATTAGCAATGATTGTCAGCACACAATGGCTGGAGGATGCTTGGAGTGATCAAGAGATGGGGGACCAAAGATTTAGCTGTTCATTATAAATTTCCTTCTCTTTCCCTCTTCTTTTTTTGGAAATGGTTCTGTGACTCCTAGAGCAAAGAAATTCACACTAGTGGTAGAATCAGTCTTCACAATGCTTCATAAAAGGACAAAGGGCATAGCTGACTGTTGCTAATTAGAGCAATTAAATGGGAAAGTCCAGTCCCTAAAGTAGATTTCGGTACTCAGATGTTGAGCAGGTGAAGGGTGCTGTCTTAGCATCCCCACCATCATGTTGGGCAAAACATTGTAGCTTGGTTGATACATACACTGTGTGCATTGCATTCTGTTAATCAGAAAAACAGAAAACAGTTAAAATGGCCTGAGGTGTTCAATGATTCCTTTACAGTAGAAGAAAGAAAGGATAACGTTAAGTTGTTTTTGACCTCTTGTCAGCAGCCTTTACCAGCAAGCATGCTGCTAATAAATAAATTTGGGCCTACTATTCCCAAATTTCCCACCTGGCATGGCCATTGGTGCCTGCCCACTCAAAAAACCCCTTAGAAATAGATAGGTTGTTCTATAATGAGACTTGGGATGTTGACAACACAATCTGTTGAAGTTCCTGTTGAACCCGCACAAGTCACTCAACTGTCTCAGCCAAGAAATGGAGGGTATGGGGTTGCATGCCCTGCTGAATAGCAAACCAATAATTACAGCAGTGGGGCTGCAATTTCAGATTCGACCACATGGCCATCTGGACGGGTAGATGGCCTTCAACAATGGGAAGGCAAGCTCTAGAATCCTGGGCTGCATTCAGCACCATGCTTAACCTAGTTCCCAAATCAGATCATTTTCTTGATGTGCACAGTGCCATGAAACGTCAACTTTAAAAAATGGGCTAGATTCACCCAATATAGAAACACACGCACGAGGTTAAAGCTCATCAAGAGCTCATCACGTTGCGCCAAGGCAGCCTTCATTTTGCAGCTGTCCTGGTTAGCTGTGTTCTGTGAACATAGGCATGAAGTTGGAAGAGTGACAGCTGGCCATCCATTCTTCGCTTATCTATCATCAGCTCAGGAAAGGCCACCACCACCACCACCTTCTGAGACAGTTCACGATGAGCAGTTTTTGTCTATTGCTCCAAGCCTGGCTCATCCATATTTTCTGGATCCGGGAGATCCTCTGGTTTGGAGATTCTACCTCACTTAGCCTGATAGCACTTGACCGTCCACTCCGTTATAGGTTTGTCTACTCCAAGCCTCCACAGCTTAGCAGTCCTCCCCACAAAAACTTCCATCATCTCCAGCCAGTGGGGACACAATCCATAGTATTAGGAGAGGCACAGGTGAAGGAATGCTGATCTGAATCTCTACTCACATGCCCTCTCCCTATTCCCATCTTAGAACATTCCAGGGTTGAGAACCTAGCATGCCTACTGCTACCCTAGGCGTTCAGGTTAATCTTCATCAGGTTCCTGTAAATGACCAACCTGCGAATTCTGGACGTACCTGAAAATGGAGGTGACATTCTCCCCCTTTCTTTGGCCTTAGCAACGGAAACACAAGTGAGGATTCCATTCTTAGCTATGAGAGAAACAGACCCCCTCCTCCTCTCCAATGTGTCAGTGCTGCTGTCCGCTGTCCCCCAAAGTAGGCCGAAGTACCCGAGAGAGGATTTCCCTTTCAGACCCTCTACTGCAAAGTTGGATGGGTTGGTGGGATGCCAATCCGTCAGATGCGTATTCCTTTGCCTCTCTATGTCTGCTCCATGTTGGTGGGTGGGTTGGTTTTTTCCATGGGAGGAACGGATGTTGTGTTTTGCTCTTTTTTTGCCCGGATGGGTCGTCTTTTGCCTCTGTGCATTCTCAGCTCACAAAGCCTCTTGCTTGTGCTTGTTGGCCTGTAACGTAGTTAGCTTCTGCTTATGTTTTCCCTGGCTTGTTCTTCGCCCCAAGCCTCCTTCTAATCAGATAAGACTTGGATCGATCTGCTTTAGATCATGGGAGGTAAGAATAGCAGGAACAAGAGTGAATGTGTGGTCTTCTCTCTCTCTCTGTCTGTATCCCCCCCCCACTTTTTTTTTTCTTTCCTATCTTGGTCAGACTGCCCTGGCCTCCTGAAACCCAGGGGCTTTTTCATGCACACAAAAAGCTGAATAAAAGAGAGCAGATCAGATTAATGGTGTTTTGTTCTTCCAGTACTCACACCAGAATACAGTTCCTTGGCACCTGGCCCCCTTGCTTTTACGTGTTCTGATGTGGTACCTTTGCCTGAAGAATATAGCTCTAATGTCAGGGGTGCAGGGAACTGAGCATCGCAGTTTCTTACAGTTTGGGTTACAGCTGACTAGCATTTGTTTGTCTGCTGGTTTCCTCTCCCCCCACCCTTCTTTCTGCAAGTATCTTAGATTTCCCATGTACCATGTGCAAATAAATGCATGCTTTCGTGGTGTAATTAAATGCATGCCTCCTACTATTAAGGGACAGGAAGGATGGTGGAACAAGTCGGTTTTGGTGTGTGATGGGGAACTTAAGGTCTATGTTACTCTCCGTTCTTAGAACTTTGACCTTTAAACCAGACTTGGGCTGGACAGATCTTCAGCTAGAAGAAACCTTCAAGTTGATGATGGTCCTCTAATTTTTCAAATTTATGAAGGTGGCCACCATACAGGTTACTGGGGGCGGGGGGGAATCACACATCCAAAATACAGAGTTAAAACATCTGATGCTATGTTGTCAGTTGAAAAAGTTTGAA